GGGACTAAGCGCGCTGCCTCCACTGTGTCTATTAGTGTTGCCGCCACGGACTGCCTCTCTCCGCTTGCTACAGTCTGTTCTGCCCCACTTATCTCGGAGTTAGCGAACAAAGGCTTCCATGCATATAGCACTGTTGCAACATTAATCTTACACCATGCCTCAAAAATTCTGTCCACTGCATTTTTAATATTATATTTCTTCCAAAATTCACAAACTGATAACACTTCACGGTTGCGGGGTGGTGAGGTGCTAGGAGTCGGGTCGTCTAACATCTCCATCTCCTCCTCCTAATTAGCTGGTAGAGCCTGGTCACTGTCAGAGAGTTCTGCCTCAATTTGTTGTGACTCAACTAATGAGCGATGTGGTGTTAGGAGGAAGGACGATAACTTGTACATTGGGGTGGCATCCAATTAGAAACTTAGAGTGTCCAGGAGCATTATCCATCACCAGGATTACTTTGAAGTTAATATTCTTCCTCCAGCAATACTGATGGGCATCAGGAACAAAGTGCTTGTCAAACCAATCGGTGCATAAAGACATTGTAACCCAAGCTTTCTTATTAGACGTCCAATAAACATTGAGCTGCGACATATTGACATTACGGTAGGCTCTAGGACGGGCAGCACGGTTATCAACCAGGGGTTTCATCAAGAAATCTCCACTTGCATTAGCTGTGAATAAAACTGTAATTCTATCTTTTGAAGTCTTCACACACCTTGTCTGTTTTTCATCCTTGGCAATGAACGTGATCTTAGGTGAGCGCTTCCAGAAAATACCAGTTTCGTCACAATTGAAGATCTGGTCTCGGCAATAACCACCCTCTTTCACAAGAGCTTGAAAGACAGGTGAATATTTTTCTGCTGCTATGACATCAGCCGATGTACTCTCCCCATGGTAGTGGGCAAACTTGACTTCATAACGTTTCTTAAAGGCGTCCAACCAACCAACAGAAGCAATGAATGGTGGTGGAGAGTCAACTCGTTTCTTCTGTGCAACTGCAGCATAATAAACACTTGCCTGATGCCTTATCTGTGGCCCAGACAGGTCACCTTGCTCACGGTTTCTTCTTTCCACCTACTTGTGAAGATACAGTAATCGTCTGTGATAACTAACAGTAGGGTTCGTTGTGAAGTATCAGAGAATGTCCTGCTACTAGAAAATCTTGAGAATATATTTACAGAAGCAGTTAAGGCTTCCTTGTTCTTCTTACGGGAACGTATGGTTGATTCAAGGCAGTTGAACCTATGCATTATTTCACAGGTACGAGCACCACTTATGATCATTTCAAGCATCTCTCGTTTCATTTCAAGGGTGTATTTCCTCTCTTGACCCCCTCACGGTAGTTACGCTTGGCTTGGGGCTTTCCTCGTTGACCTTCTCTACGGCCATTATTACCACCAGAACCACTCCCGACATTTACATTACGCACTTCACTCATCGTTAATACACAAGAATCGCGAATACACAAGAATCGTTAATGTTTCAACAAGAATCTCGCAAAATGTAAGCACAAGGGGTTGTATAATCCAAGGTCACTGCACCGCTCGCTTATTCAAACTAACTGCCGTTACGCTGTAAACAAAAAACGCTCGGCGGGTCGATGGATAACAAAAGACCGTGACAATGCGAGCTGTCCACTCAACAATGACTTGCAAAACTGGTAATAAAAATCGCTATTCTTGAGAGGCTGGAAATTTTAAAAGTGATGCAAAACATATGAATCGCAAATTTAAAATTAGCTAAACTTGATATCCTACTGTATACGTAGAATTCTTCATTTACTTTTACTCAGTTACATGCACACACCATCCTACATACATATTGTGAAAAAAGTAAAAGAAATAATTGTCCTAAGGGAAAACACATAATGGGAGGAGAGCACAGAGTGTAGGGGGTGGGGAGCATCGCTCGGGAATCAGCGTCCCAGCTGGTCTTCCTTACTATGGTGAAGCACAGAGTGTATGCAAATGGCGACTGTGTTAAACTTTCATTTGGCTTTTAATTACTGGTTTGGCAATACAGTATTTTTTGTTGTAACTTATTTATTGGTATTATGTTTATTTACTCCTCACATTTCCTGGTACTGTATATATTATTTTAAGAAAACTATGGCTACAGGAGGAAAATACAACACAAGTTTTTTCCTAGATACTCCCTGTTCTTTAAATAAAAATTTCCATTATATTCGCTTGATTTACCCAACTATTTAACTAAACCGAGCGTGATTCCGTTAAATTACACTCTACAGTACGTGTTGCTTGGCGCGTCGGGTTTGTTTACATCCGCTCAGTCTGTGTCCTGCCGCCACCGTGTGTGTTGTTCACTGCTACCTCTCGATCAACTAATTACAATGGAGCACCTTAGCGTTCGTATGTATTCAAGACATCTTCAGAGGCAACTGAATTTACAGGGAATGAGAGAAGCAACAGGTGAGGTCAATAACATGGGAACCACTAATCCACACACCACCTCCACTGCAAATGAAAGAAGAGCATATAAAAAAATGGATGACATAGCACCAGGGTCAGGTCAAAAACATGAGACCCACTAACCATCTATCCTACATCCACGTCAAATGCTTTTAAAGCATTTTAACATTAGGCCAGAGTTATTACACACACACACGAGAGCTCGCACCGATAGATATAAGAACAGCACCATCCCATCTATTGTTAAAATAATAAACAACTCCTGATTTATGTACTATACAGCCCTGTAAATGTATTCAATGCATATTATATCATTATGTCTAAATCAAATGTAAGTCTGTATATTTTCAGCCACCGGCTGCAACTCTATTAATAAACCGGTTATTATTATTATTTATTATTTACACACACACACACACACACACACACACGACGTCATGAAGATGGCAGACGTCATGAAGATGGCACCCTTTGTGGGCGACGCCGTTTGAAAAAGACAGTCTGGTTTTGGAGAGAGTGAAGTGTGGGCATGTGTATGTCATCCCACCCCCCCTCCCCCCATGGTGTGATATGCGTATATGTGTGTGAGCACCTTTAAGGTTTTATCCACTTCATGAAATGTTTTGTGAGTCACGTGACCTCTGTTTAACTAGCTAGGAAGATAGGTTTATTGTTTTGAGTCTGTCTCTATCTCTCTCAATTATAAATAAAGAGAAATACGAAAAAAAGGAAAAGAAAAACAAAATATTGTTACATGGTGACAGCGGTTTAGATATTTCTTAAAAATATCCATCCCACACCACTCACACCACGCTTACCAAATGTAGTTTGAATGTATATCTATTTTGTGTTTGATAAATAATAAGTGTTAGAAAGAGGATTTTTTTTCTTCTGTTGAATTTACTGAGAGAATCTTGAGGTTGAATTTGAAGTTAATGTGTTTTGATGCTTATCATACTGTGATGACCTGTGGTGTAATGGTCAGCAAGCTCGCCTCGCAAGCAAGCGGACACGGGTTCGATCCTCAGCCATGGTGAAACTATGGGCAAGTTTATTTATGCCATTTGCCACTGTCTACCCAGCAGTAATTGAGAACCCAGATGTTAATTGATTTGCGGATCGTATTCCGGGATAATGGTTAGCCAGTGCAGTTGGCAAGTTGTCCGGTCTTCTCGGACTATTCCTTGACACTGGGTCATGCAACTCGTTAACTCAGGGTGTGGTTGTGGTGTTGGCTTATACACCTTAAACAAATTCACGCCTAGGAGGCCCTAGGGCCGGCCATCCTGGTACACGAGGGGCATCCATTATTATTATTATTATTATTATTATTATTATTATTATTATTATTATTATTATTATTATTATTATTATTATTATTATTATTATTATTATTATTATTATTATTATTATTATTATTATTATTATTATTATTATTATTATTATTATTATTATTATTATTATTAATATTATTATACTGTGATGAATATACTGTGAGATGGAGTATGTTGAGCGTTGCTTGGCGCGTAATTTAACAGAATCACGCTCGGTTTAGTGAAATAGTTGGGTAAATCGAGCAAATATAACGGAAATTATGATTTAATGAACAGGGGTGGCTCAAATTAGTCGTTAATTCAAGAAAAACTAATTGGGGGAAGGGGTGTCCGGGATAAGAGGTTGTCCACCTTAGAGCCAATTTTTCCAAAAATACACCACCAATGTATCAAAGTTTTATGAAAGAAATACTTGTTTTTTTAATCATTTACTTTTAATTCACTGATAAGGTCTCAGGCTTAACCTTCTCACCACCCTTAAGGATACCAAAACACTTTCTTAGTGGCCATTGTCATTGTCTAATTTTTAAATAATAATGTAAAAAAACATGATGCTACTTCAGCCTATGGTGAATGTACTAAATACATAAAAATGATATAATGATATAAAAAATACAGTGCCATATTTTATGGGGGAATATTTAGGAAAAAACTTTTGTGTGTATCTTCCTCCTGTAGCCATAGTTTTCTCAAAACAATATATACCTCTTGTTGAACTAAGTATACAATGGAGCACCTTAGGTTTTGTCTTTATTCAAGACATCTTCAGAGGCAACTCAATTTACATGGATGGACTGTCAAGTCACCATTTCTTGGGTTGGGGATTAGTGGGTCTCATGACCTGAAGATGTCTTGAATAAAGACAAAAGCTTAAGTATTTTGGGGGAGACCTGAGCTGACCTGACCTAATGCAGTGTCAGATGGAGGTAGGGTGGGGGATTAGTGGTCTCATATTACTGACCTTTCAATGGAATGTCAGGTCACCCTTTCTTGGGTGAGGGATTAGAGGGTTTCATGACCTGAAGATGTCTTGAATAAGCACAAAAGCTAAAGTATTTTTATGGAAATTGTGATAAGTATAAGTATAAATGAACAAAGTTGTATCCATTCAACATTATGTTACATAACATTTTAAAATATGGAGTGAGAAAGTAAAAAGGTGTGGATGATTAGAGATATGGAGTGAGAAGGAGTGGCACACAGTCACACAGATGGCTGGAGTCGGTGATAGGCGTACCTTTTTGGGGAGAGAGGGGGGTAGGGTCACACGGTCAGTTTTCTCCCCTCCTTCCTCACTCAAGCGTGGCTATTGTAATAGGGAGATGAATTTGATAATATAATGATCCTTAATAAATTCCCTACGAGACGTTTCCAATATGATATCTTTAAATGACAAGTCGGATATTAAGGTAAAAGTAAGTATTTTACTGTATATGAAGGGTACTGGTATTATAAGCTCAAATTATTTCAGTAACATGTCTTTACTAATTAATAAATAACAAATAAACAATATTTTTGCTCAGTAAGAATGACAGAGGCAGACAAACCTTTTTGGGGGTGCGCGGACAGATTCTATATCTACCCCCAATGGTCTCTACACCACGAGTCTCTATGTATAGAACTAAACAATGAATTTATTTGAAATACCTGCATTCTGTAACATTCGATACTGGGGCAAGATAAAGACTTCTCCCTGTGAAAAAGCCATAATTTTGAACAACATATTACTGTAATCACTTTGTACTCAAATGTACTAAAATAAAGAAAAAAAATTATCTCTTATGCAAACTATGAGACGTTTATGCTCAAATTAATCACTATCTTACAAGGATTCCAACAATGCAAGTTATATTCTCCTAAGTAAAGTCTGTGATATTTTATAAGAAAAAAACTTTGAGCCTAAAACCACCTTCATCTATAAAATCCTTAACACTCACCGTCATCTCGCCTCCCTGCTGGCTGAGAGGAGGGGGTTGTGGGAGGTGGGGTGTTGACAGCCAGGAGGGGAGATTAACGTGTAGTTGTCAGTGGAGACATGGGGTCAGGAACTTAGGATTATAAAAGGCAGGGAGTGTAAGTTTTTTGCTTATAAAAATTTCACTGACTTGACTTAGCAGAATATAACTCAACATATTTCGCTTTTTACGGACTGAGGTCAGCTCCTAAACTACAACGGAATAATAAAAAACAATAAACTTCTAGTCTTTGAGTGATTAAATTGTTAGTGCTGTACACTGAGACAAGAAAAAATAGAGTAAACCCTCAAAAGTCAGGACCATGTAAATCAGAATTTGGGATAGTCCAGACCCTTTCAGGGCAAGACACATTTAAAATTGCTGCCACCAAACAATCCCTTGGCCTCCTTCCTCCTTCTCACCTGTGAAGTGAGCAGTTTATTCCCCCAGTCTTAGAATGGACTTGCCCATAATGCTGCACTGTGATTGGTTAGCTATAAGTTAAATACATATTCAGCCACAGAAAAAAAGGCAAGATTTAAGGTCAAATATATCAAACAATGGTGATGATAACCTGCTTCTGATATGAAGCCAGTAATAAGAACTGCCATCCACTCAAGTTAGCAATGCAGATGAGATGCTGTCGGAGCAAACATGCTCCATGGCATCCTTCCTGCTTTGGGTGCCCTGGGATATCAAGGACTGTCATGCCATTGAAAGACTGCTTTGGCCTGCCTCCACATTGGCGACACGTGGGTGACTTGTTTTTGTTTTACGGAGAAGGGTGTGGGTAGCATGGGAGGTGGACGTCCTCTCTTTCGAGGAGGGCACGCACGCACACACACACACAGTGACCTCCACCACCAAGCACTGGAAAGGTTTGGCAGCCAACTAATGCACCACCCTCATCATCGCCACCTCCTGCCACCGGCAGCCCCCCACCCACCTCACGCAGTCCGCCACTACAACAAAATTCAGCCCATAAGAGCCCGCACCGATAGATATAAGAATAGCACCATCCCATCTATTGTTAAAATAATAAACAACTCCTAATTTATGTACTGTACAGCCCTGTAAAGGTATTCAATGCATATTATATCATTATGTCTAAATCAAATGTAAGTCTGTATATTTTCAGCAACCGGCTGCGAACGCGCACGCACGCACACACGCACACACACACCAAAATTAATGTGTCCTTAATGTTTTGTAATAAAAACTCAGGTAAATGTTTTTGTTTTCCAATCATGATTATCATAATAAAAATACACCCTAAATTGGTTTTCCAATGTGGGAGACTTTACTGTCATCAAGCTCTGGGACACTGACTCCCTAGGTGGCTTCTGAGAATAAAACATTACTGAAGACAAGCCTCAAGTCAATGTAGAGGGCTCAGGCTGGGCCTCAACGTAGTCATTATCACTTGACATTGTTGTGTAGTGACAATACACAATTGGAAACGGCGATATTAATGAAAAAATGCACGCTCCCTTAGCTCAAGACAAGGACTGAAAAAAAGTGCACCACCAGCCCTGCCCGGCATGCAGTTCTGCTTGCTGATTGGCTGCCTCCACCAACAAACTCCCTTCTTACCCCTACCCCCAACCCAAGCCCACAAACACACTTAAGGCCTTATGACATAAGGCCATATGTTTCACACAAAGAATTTGGCGGATGTGCTACATTTCACCACGCAAAAATGATCAAAATGTCGCTTCAATGAGATGTGGACCAGAGCTAGGTTTTTGTCTATGGACTTTTAACCATGTGGTCAGTGGCGTCTTTGCACTTCATCCTCATGAGATTAGGGTGTTTCATGAACTGTTTGCAGTTATAAACATGATTGTGGCCTGGGTGGCGCTTGTGCTAGTTTCTCCACGCAACACCTCATATATTCTCCAGGAGAGAATGGAGAGGGCTGGAAAGCAGAGGTCCTTCTCCTTTATACACCTTGGCTGGGATTCCATCAGGCCCTGTGGCTTTGTTATTTTTTATGTTGATAGCAGTAGATACCTCCCCACACAATGGAGGATAGCTGAGGTGGCTCAGCTCTGGTAGCTGAGGAACCTGCTGGGTAGTGCACATTGTGTTTTGGTTGAGCAGGGAATGTAAGTGCTCTTTCCAGCACTGATGGACACCTTCTTCGTCCTTAATTAGGGAGTTACCGTTAGATGACCGGAGGAGACCTGGGCCATGAGTAGCTGGACTATACATTGTTTTAATGGAATTGAAAAATTCACGCATCATGTTGATTTGCAAATTTTTATTTATTCACGCTTTATTTTTACACAATTCTTTCATTAGATTGCAGAGTTTGCTCTGGGCCATTGCTTTCTTCTGCCGGAAGGTATCAGCTTTGGTTCGAGATTGAGGGTTGTTCTGCTCATCAGTGAAGGCAGCATGATTACCATTGATGAGAACATTGATTTACTGGTTATTTTCATCAAACCAATCCTGGTGTTTTCTTTCAATTTGGTCAAGGTTCCTGCTGCAGGTTTTTGTGACGACAGCACTCAGATTTAGGTTGATCGTTGTTGGGTTGTTTATCAGCCCATCGTTGAGCTGCTCTCTGAAAGCATGTTCTACTGCTTGATACTCCAGTTGCTTGGTGTTAAAACCTCTCCTGGAGGCTTGTTGCCTTTGCCATTTTGGGGCAACATGAAAGGGGAGTCACAGTGGTCTGAGCCATGCATGGCTCGAGTGATGAGGACATCTCAGCGATTTCTTTCTCTGACAATGAGATGCCAGTAAGATCTTGTATTTTGATAGTAATATAGACTGAAAAAATTGCACCATATTCAAATTTGCCAAATTCAAATACATAAACTAATGGAAAAAATAACAATATAGACTGGCCACTCTACATCAACCTCTGATTTTTCCATTTATAACCTTCATATGATACAAATTCTGCCTTTATTGACCTGATTGTGCTTTCCGGAAACTGGTTTTTAGGCCTTCCTCAAGCAACTTAATCACACGCTGCTTATCCTGCATCGATTACTTGGCAAACTTAACTCCCTTATGATACGCTTCTCCTTTTCCTTATTTGGCCACTTAGGTGGGTCTGTCCCACCCCCACCAGCACCAGTAGGACCCCCAGTAGAGGTAGAGGCCATTATCTTGACTTGACAGGTGGTAGCATCACCCAAAAAAGCACACAATAGCAGCCCGGGCAGTTGTTAGGATGGCGAGGGCTACAACGCGATAGTTGAGTTCTTGTAAACCTCTTTTACGTTCACCACTGGAAATTGAATCACTAGAACGCTTCTTGGAAACATTCTTCTTACCTTGTCTTTCCATATTCATCGCTAAAGCAACAAAATTGGAGCAAACAGCGAAAATCACGGAGTAATCGACAGAAACCGCACAACTTAACTGATCACGTGATGTAAACAGAGAGCGTTGGTGTAAACCGTTATTAGTCCTCACTGTGAAACATTGTTTTTACTTATTCTTTTCAAACAGTATTTATGGGTAAAAGCTAAAATTGCAAAAAAAAAGAATGAAATTTACAGTGTCTCTCAAAAAACACTTCTCAAACAAAAGACGCGAATCAATTGAACATGTGATGTCGAACTTGAATTGTAAACATTGCATAACTCCGCGCCACGCTTAAAACGTTGAGGATGGAATCAAAACATTGAGGATGGAATTGCGCTATAGCCAACATTCGTATGCAAAGGTTCGTGTCTTACAAACAGCATTCCCCTATTCATCAATCGCGTTACAACCAATTCGCGTTGACAAAACACGCGTTGTAGCAGAAATGACTATAGTGTAACTAGTATGAGGGCTGTGATGTCATTCAAAACGGTGGCCAGCATTCAGCTTGCTGGACCTCGCGAAACCCACGCGAAATGATATTGCCCATTATTCTGAACACAGAAAAAAAAAAAGTGTTTTCCCCACAAAATTGTAAATTTACCCAAGATTTTATTACTTTATGACTTTTTAATTGTTAAATGTGGATTCCTTACGCTTTTCAATAAACAAGTACAGTAGTTAAAACGTAAATGAAAGCATTTTCATTTTTTAGTGAATTTTGGCACTTATTGAGGAATACCGTCGAAATTGGCCGGCGCGGTGAAAGGGTTAAGAATGCTCATTTGTGCCAGTATCCAGAAGGGTCCTGACATTCCATGTGGCGACCATAAGAGGTTGTTTAGCTTGTTTTTACTTTGATTTGTGGTTGTGAATATGATTTCGACCGCATAAGGATGACCTTACTGGGTGTGGTTGCCCAGTCAGGTTGGTTTTTTAGGCAGACTATGTTTAAGGCACATTTTCTAGCCCCCTCCCCATGTGTGGTGAGCAGAATGGCTGTGCTCAGTCACACAGACAGGACCGG